CCATTACTGTTGCCCCTATACCAGGGGCAACTTTAATAAAAATAATTAAAATAATTACAACTTTACAAAAAGAGAGAAGTTGCCGATCTTGCCCCTATACCCGGGGCAACTTCGTCAATTTCTCTCTTCTTGTAAAGTTGTAATTATTTTAATTATTTTTATTTCCAAACTGATTTTAACCAGTTCTATAGTAAGGTAACATTCCAATAGACAATATGCAAAGCTTTTTTTTCAGTTTACAGCAGTATTTATTACACAAAATTTAAGTAAAGCTTAACATGCCGATCTTGCCCCCGATCTCCCCTAATGTTTTACTATATCGCCCAGAAAATTGTTTTTCGCCCCCCAAAATATAAATTGTTACAAATCGCCCCCTCAACATGGAAAAACGCCCACATGGGGGCGATATCGCCCCCGTTGAGAAACACTGGTTTAGAACGTAGTTTTGATTATTTTTTTCCTAGGATGCTTTCTGTTTGGGCCGAATGGAGCTAATGTAGTGTTTGACTCAGATCGGCCGAACTAATTTAACTTCGGATACGGGTAGCGCCGGGTAAAATGATACAGGCCTACACATATACCTATATTATACCTAAAAATTAAAATTTACCTTACTTAACAAAAAAAAAATAAATGAATTTTTTAAAATTAAACTTAACGGTACGTTATGTACATATTTAGAAAAAACGGCCCAAATTGTATACGGCCCATGTGGAATTTTCCACATTTTCCACATGGCCAGTCCGCCCCTGGCCGTCGGGAAGGGAGGAAGTTCCTCTCCTTACCGGCCACAGCTCAATGACCTATTTACTTGTCAAGGATGCCGTTGCATTCGGTTACGCGTTATGCGAGTGGAGGAGAGTCGGAGGGGTCGACGATAAGACGTTGGCAGAATCGAGTAACGATACCCTTTAAAACAAAACAAGAGTTTATTTAACTCGCTAACTAAATTTAAAAAATTACAAAACTCCTTCGACTTCGCGGATGAGAGAGAGAGTTTACAGTAATATTTCATACCTGTGGGATAATAACGAATGGATACTCCGGCTTTAATTGTTCCGAAAGGCGATGCGAGGTGTGGCACAAGGTCTTCCAATTAAGGTCGTACAGTAGGTATAAGGGAAAGTTAATGTCCGTCTTTGTCGTTGTTCGTTCGATTGGCGACTCCCCCGAGAGGGAAAGGAGGATGGCTTTTATACGTTTTGTGGTGGGAAAATTAGTCAGGTGACCAATTGTTTAGCAGGTGTGGGGTTAAAGTTGGTGTTAGAATGACAACATTATGACGAATTTCGCCGGTAATTGTAAACTATACACGGTTTGATCGTGAGAATGTTTATAGTTAAATAGAAAGAGTTATAAATTTCTCATGCACTCTATATTTCGTTTCTGTAGGTTCAAATTCCTCTAGTTAAAGGAATTTACGTACTATAAATTCAAATGATTAACTTCCTTTATGATATTATATGAACTTCGAATTTCACACATAATATATTTGAGTATTTTTTCGGCATGGAACGCATTATCGTATTTTACATTAATTTATACAGTACAGTCGACCCCCCTATAATTACGGTCCCTATAGTTACGATTCCTATAAAACTACGAAAAAATTGCTACCGGTATCCGTAAAAAATAGTAAAAGTTCCCTATAAACACCTCAAACGTCATCGGGAAGCCGAACTACTTTCCCGCCGACCGTAGCGCCACGCTACGGAGAGATTTCTATCGTCTGGACAGTATTATATAAATTATATATAAATTAGGTACTGTACA